TGGCCCCACACCCACCCGCCAGCCCCTCCAGTCCTTGTCCCACAGAGCTCCATGCTTGGCCAGTAGATCAACAAACAAACAAACAAGCACGTGGGGGGACCTCCTTTGCACACCCACCCGCCAGCCCCTCCAGTCCTTGTCCCACAGAGCTCCATGCTTGGCCAGTAGATCAACAAACAAACAAACAAGCACGTGGGGGGACCTCCTTTGAGCAAAGGGGGGAAGTCAGGGCTCTTCCTGCCTGAGCCTCTCAGCCACTTTTCTTGCAAGAGGTGAGGGTGCTCCCATAGTGGGAGGGTGGGTGGGGAGAGATTCCCAGACTCCTAGCTGGACCCATGGATACCAAGGCTGACTTACCTTTTGGGTTGAGACTTCTATGGTCTAGCCATGTGTGTTGTGTGCCAACTTCCTTTTTTTGATGGAAAGGAGTGGAGGGAGTATTTTCCGGTGTATGTACACACAGAACAAGCAGAGTCAGTCTTGCTTGTAGCTTTCCTGAGAGCTAGTGATAGAAATGTAGCCGTGTTAGTCTGGGGTAGTTGAAGCAAAATGCAGGACAATGTAGCACTTTAAAGACTAACAAGATGGTTTATTAGATGATGAGCTTTCGTGGGCCAGACCCACTTCCTCAGATCAAATAGTGGAAGAAAGTAGTCACAACCATATATACCAAAGGATACAATTAAAAAAAATGTTCCTGAGAGCTGTTTCTCTTCGCTAGTGCAAAGAGAGTTGTGGTGTGGTGGTGCTGTGAGCGCATGCGGAGTGTTTGGGATGCACTGCTGATAGTATCTGTTGCTTTTCCCCATTCATTCGTAGAATCAGCAGCACACCTGTCTGGAAACAGATTTTTACCCTGTTCTAAGACCGACTTGCTCACAATTCCCATATTACAGAATCCAGCCCTGCCTGAACTCCCTTTCCTGCCTGCCCTAACACACAGCTCTTTACCGCTGACCCCATGTGGCATGGGGCCAGGTATGAAAGAAGTTAGGTTAGAACATAAGAACGGCTGTACTGGGTCAGACCAAAGGTCCATCTAGCCCAGTAGCCTGTCTACCGACAGTGGCCCGCACCAGGTGCCCCAGAGAGGGTGGACCGAAGACAATGATCAAGCGATTTGTCTCCTGCCATCCCTCTCCAGCCTCTGACAAACAGAAGCCAAGGACACCATTTTATCCCCTGGCTAATAGCCTTTTATGGGCCTAACCTCCATGAAATTGTCTAGCTTCTCTTTAAACTCTCTGTAAACAGGTTGTACCCCCTGAATGTTCCAAGCATACCTTCACCTTTCTGCAGCAGTGCAAGAGGGCCCTAGCTGCACAAGGGGGTGATGGGCTTATAGGCCATGAAAGGCTTTATCTGAGGTGGGATGTGCCGGTGAAAGCATGCCTTAGGACAGGGGTGGGAACCTTTTGTGAGTCGGGGGCAGCACGCCAGTATAAAGCAAAAAACAAAAAAGCCCTCACTGACATGGCCCCTGACTGAGGAGAAAGACTCTCCCCACATTCCCCTCACACACTAGAGCCTCGGGGAGCCCAGTAGATTTTGTGTGCTCCAGCCCTGTGCGGGGGGAGGAGGCTGGTGTTCCAGCACAGGTTCCCCAAAGCTGAAGGGAGCCCTGAGCATTGGGGGCTGGATCCAAGCAAGCCTCAAGTTCCTCACCCCTGCCTTAGAATCCTAGAACTGGAAGGGACCTCAAGAGGTCCTCAAGTCCAGTCCCCTGACCTCACGGCAGGACCAAGCACCATCTAGATCATCCCTGACAGGTGTTTGTCCAGTGATGGAGATTGCACAACCTCCCTAGGCAATTTATTCCAGGATTTAACCACCCTGACAGGTCGGAAGTTTTTCCTAATGTCCTCCTTGTAACACCCTTTTAGATACTTGGAGGAGACACTTCTGATGGGGAGGGAGGTCCACAGGAGATCCAGCTGTAGGGTTCATGCCACACGTAAGCCCCTCCTGGGCCACAAATAAGCACTGAAAGATTCCGCATAGAGGGGAGTAATGGAAAGGTTAGATTCCAGGAGCCAGAGCTGGGATTGGAGGGCCGTTCAGTGGCAAAGCTGTGCTGTTATTAGGAGGAAGAAAATGAATACGTTGGGAGGAAGAGAGAGTCTCATGCACACACTAGGGAGATGTGGCCTTGGTTAAACTACTCTAGGCTGGGTGCACACATGGTTGAAGGATTGCGCTCAAAGTGTAGTTGTCACTGGTTGGACATCAAAGTGAGGGAATGGATTTGGGGGATCCTGCAGGGCTCAGTCCTGGGTGTGCTTTAGGATACTCTGTAGGCACTTTGGAGAACAGGATGAGAATTCAGAGTAACCTTGACAAATTGGAGAATTGATCTTACAGCCACAGGATGAGAATTCAACAAAGGCAAGTGCCCAGTACTACACTTAGGAAGGAAAAATCAAATGCACAGCTGCAAAATGGAGTACCTGGCTAGGCAGTAGTACTGCTGGAAAGGATCTGAGGCTTATGGAAGGTCGTGTACTGAGTAGGAGTCGTCATTAGGGATGTTAAAAAGCGGTTAACTAGGTAACCGTTTAACCGCTGAAAAATCTTAGTGGTTATGCACTGCAGGCTGCTGTGGGGCCACTGGCTGCTGGCCCCCCTCCTAGCTCCTACCCCTCTCCCAGGGAACTGGCTGCTGCCTGATGCCATGGGCTCTGATACAGAGCCAGCAGCACAGGGTGGCAGCCAGCTCCCCAGCAGCGGGGACAGGAGCTGGTCTGTTGCCATTATGGTAACCAGGAAGCTCATGCTTCCTGGTTAGCTGTGTAAACGGCTATACTGTTCCATCCCTAGTGTTCTTGTGGAGCACGTGTGAAAGGCTGAGCTTGCTCTGGGGTGTATTAACAGAGCCTCTGCATGCGAGACTCCGAAGGGAACAGTCCCATGCTGGAGCGCTGGGTCCAGCTTTGGGCACACGCTTTAGGAAAGATGCGGAAAACCGGGAGGGAGTCTTTACTAGACTTTACTAGATTGCTGCAGTGTCCATCCACCCCTAGTGGAGACAAGCCCTTAGGTCAGTGCGATGGGTTTGCGCATCATGTACGTGAACAAGATGTGCACGAAGACGGGGGCACTCCGT